GATTTGCCATTGCCTGCCTCCACATAACTTCCCTAGTCTTTGTTGGTGGTCTCTCATCTGCGTACTAACCAGGGCTGACCCTTTTTAGCTTCCCAGATCTGATGACGAGACCTGGCTAGCCTGGGCCATCCACGTCAGGGTGCTTGTGTTAATATTAACTGCTAAGGTATTTTCAAAATGCTGCTTCAAAGTGTATAGCGTTAGCATGCTTTGCCATGTGGACCACTGAATACAAAGAATGTTAGGGATACTTAATATTACAACTAATCTCTTTCCAGAAGCAGTTAGATTTTACATATAAGCCATATGGTAGCTTACTACTAAAGGTTTGTCAGTACAGCAATAGATTGGTCTTTGTCTTCATGTTTAAAGGAAGAAATGTTTACTTCTTTGCTGTCAACTAGCTATGACTCTATGGGGAGGGCTTCCTCATGCATCAGTTGTTAGCTCCTTGAGACAAAATACTGGGTATTTCATACTTTTTGAGCTGGAAACCACAAACTATAGGTATAGTCACATTTTGATTACATGCTCATGGGATTTGTAGAGAAATACAGCTTCCTCCTTTTCAGTTTGGACAGCAGAAAGTTGGATATATTTTAAACAGCAAGGTATTCAAACTATAAACCACGTGTAAAGAGGAGGAACCTTACTTTCAGCATAAATGTAACATGTATTTTTAAATATATTTTTGTTTTTTTCAGATGCTGTAAACTAGTTTCCATTTTTAATGCATATTTTCTACCAGGACCTTGTGTGTCTACTTATTGTCTGCTGTCAGTGTTTGTTTGATACAAAAATATTTATCTCCTGATGGTTGGCTTTAGGCTAGTTCCAGGCCTTATGTTTGGCTTCTTTTACCTTTCATGAATTATTTAAGGAGCTTTGTTGTTGTTGTTCAGTCGCACAGTCGAGTCCGACTCTTCGCGACCCCATGGACCAGATCACGCCAGGCCTTCCTGTCTTCCACCGTCCTCTGAAGTTTGCTCAATTTCATGTTTGTTGCATCCAATGTTCCCTCTAAGCTGTGGAGTCTTGTGAGCAAAAATCCTACCTTGTCAGCTCCTGGCATGAAAGTAGTGAGCCAGTGATTTGGCTGCTGCATAAATTAGTTTCCTCTAGAGCCATCCTTCCTGAGCTGAGACAAAAATGTGTGAGCCAGAGGCTAAAAAACTGTGAGCTAGCTCACACTAACTCAGCTTAGAGGGAACATTGGTTGCTTCTATGACAATGTCTAACCATCTCATCCTTTGCCGTCCCCGTCTTCTTTGACCTTCAATCTTTTCCAGCATCAGGGTCTTCTCCAGTGAGTGCTCCCTTGTCATTTGGTGGCCAAAGTATTTGAGCTTCAGTTTCATTATCTGGCCTTCCAGGGAACAGTCAGGGTTGGTTTCTTTTAGGATTGACTGATTTGTTCTTCTTGCAGTCCAAGGGACTCTCAAGAGTCTTCTCCAGCACCATAGTTCAAAAGAATCTATTCTTCAGCGCTCGGCCTTCCTTATAGTCCAACTCTCGCAGCCACACATGACTACTGGGAATACCATCGCTTTGACCATACGGACTTTTGTTGGCAGGGTGATGTCTCTACTTTTTATCATGCTGTTTAGGTTCGCCATCGCTTTTCTCCCAAGGAGCAGGCGTCTTTTAATTTCGTGGCTGCTGTCACAGTCTGTGATGATTTGGGATCCCAGGAACGTGAAGTCTGTCACTACTTCCACGACTTCCCCTTCTATTTGCCAAGGAGCAATGGAGCTGGATGCCATGATCTTAGTTTTTTTGATGTTGAGCTTCAAGCCCACTTTTGCGCTCTCCTCTTTTACCCTGAGCAAGAGGCTCTTTAGGTCCTCTTCACTTTCTGCCATCAGAGTGGTATCGTCTGCATATCTGAGGTTGTTGATCTTTTCCCCAGCAATCTTAATTCCCGCTTGTGATTCATCCAGGCCAGCATTTCGCATGATGTACTCTGCATATATATTAAATAAGCAAGGCGACAATATACATCCTTGTCGTACTCCTTTTCCTATGCGAAACCAATCAGTTGTTCCATATCCGGTTCTAACTGTCGCTTCTTGGCCCTTATACAGGTTTCTCAAGAGACATGTGAGGTGGTCTGGTACTCCCATCTCTTTAAGGACCTGCCATAGTTTGTTGTGATCCACACAGTCAAAAGCTTTAGCATAGTCAATGAAGCAGAAGTAGATATTTTTCTGGTACTCTCTTGCTTTCTCCATAATCCAGCGAATGTTGGCAATTTGATCTCTAGTTCCTCTACCTCTTCGAAACCCAGCTTGTACTTCTGGCAGTTCTCTATCCACGTACTGTTGAAGCCTAGCTTGTAGGATCTTGAGCATGACCTTGCTAGCATGTGATATGAGTGCAATTGTGCGATAGTTTGAACATTCCTTGGCATTGCCCTTCTTTGGGATTGGAATGTATACTGGCCTTTTCCAATCCTGCGGCCACTCTTGCGTTTTCCAAATTTGCTGGCAAATTGAGTGCAGCACTTTAACAGCATCATCTTTTAAGACTTTGAATAGCTCAGCTGGGATACCATCACCTCCACTAGCTTTGTTGTTAGTAATGCTTTCTGCGGCCCATTTAACTTCACATTCCAGGATGTCTGGCTCAAGGTCAGTGATGATACCGTCATGGATGTCAAGGACATCGAGGTCTTTCTTGTATAGTTCTTCTGTGTATTCTTGCCATCTTTTCCTAATCTCTTCTGCTTCTGTTAGGTCCCTACCGTTTTTGTCCTTTCTCATGGCCAGCTTGGCGTGAAACGCTCCCTTGATTTCTCCAATTTTCTTGAAGAGATCTCTAGTCCTTCCCATTCTATTGTTTTCCTCTATTACTTTGCACTGTTCATTCAGGAAGGCCTCCTTATCTCTCCTTGCTGTTCTCTGGAAATCTGCATTCAGTTGGGTAAATCTTTCCTTTTCGCCTTTGCCTTTCGCTTTCCTTCTTTCCTCCACATAACTTCTACTACTGACCTTTATGGTCTTTACTAGATTTAGATATTGCTGTCTCCACACCTGCCATTTGTGAGCTCTGTGGTCAGCTGAGAATGATCTCAGATAGTGACCTTGTGTAGTAAATACACACTCCCAGTTTCTTGGTGAATATTTCTTCTCTTTAATACCATGACAGAACTTTGGGGAGTAGGCCTTTTCAGTGGTAGGTGATGAACCTGGTGAAATTTTCCATGTAAACAAGAGCACTTTATTAAACCTGGAGCTAAATGTCTCCATAGCTAACAAAGTTGTCTCCCTTTATTGACCATGATAGTGCAATGGACTGTTTACAAAACATTTGAGACTCAACCTATTGTACTTGGATACCTGGGACTGTGATTTTTGCTATATACGATTTGAAGTTCAGCCTCACTGGTAAGTAGTTTTAAATTTCCAGATTCAGGTTGCTTAATGTATACATAGGCTGATTTTTTGGGGCCCCTCTCTCTTTAGGACAGTGGACAACCCTTTCTGTCACGAGCCATGAATTCCCCCCCTTGCCCTCCCAAGATGGGCACTTGTGCAGATTAGTTACCCACTACAGAACTTTTAAAAGCCCTTTAGTGCTCACAATCAGGATGGTTAAGTATTACAAAATCACACTCCCATTATTCCAATGAATATATGTTTAGTGTGGTTCTAAACAGGTTTTGTGAACTGGTTTGTCTGAGATGCCACTAACTTTAAATTGTTAACACATCCCAACAGATAGTTATTTGCACACAATACTTCTTTGTATTGTATGCCTATCTTGGGTCAGTGGGGTAGGCTCCTATTCTGTGGACCGGCCAGTGATGGTCAGTATAGGTCAGACTAGGCTTGGGAGACGCAGGTTCAAGTCTCCACATGACCATTAAACTTATTGGATGACCTTGGCTCAGTCTCACTCTCAGCCTAGCCTACCTCACAGGGTTGTTGTGAAAATAAAGAAGGGAGGCCCACGTGCACCACCCTGGGGAGATATACAAAAGGGTACTGTGGCGTGGATATACATAGTAGACATCTGTGGGAGATGTAAGTTACCTGTACGTAAAAAAGAGGTAATAGCTAACGGTGGGACACGATTAGGTGGTCTTGAGAAACGTGTGGTTGGGCTAGATTGGTCTCCATGGCATAGGAAAGTTATTAAATAACAGGGCTTGTGGCGTACTAGTAAACTACCGCACTAAGGAGCGCAGAGACATTACGATAATGTCAAGTCAAGGCGTGCGGGCGCTGCCTCCCGCCGCCGATGGAGCCGCCTGACTGACTGAGGGGAACGGCGCGTCGCCCCACCCGCCAGCGCAGACCAAGGCGAGGGGGAGGGGAGGTATCTGTCGCATCCTCATCACTTCCCCCTCCCCTCACAGGAAGATACCAAGCCCGCGTCGAGAAAAAGAGGAGGAGGGGGCAGCACCGAGCTAGTGGAACATTCCAAACGGTTAACATGACGATTTAGAGGGCGGGGTTTCCCCCCCTCTCAGTGAAGCCCCACCCCTTTCCATTCCCGGCAGTCGCCTCCGCCCACCGCCTCCCTCCCTTCCCGAGGCCGGCCAGATCTGTCTCTCTCTCTCTCAGAGCCGATGGGTGGAGGCCGGCAACGTCATCGCGCAGTGGCGTAGGGGGCGGGCTGCTGTCTGGGCCGGCCCGCTGCCGCAGTAGCAGCTAGGCTGTAGTTCCCAAGCTGCCTCGCGGCTCCATTTGAGCCCCATCTTGAGCGAGGGGAGTGAGCAGTTTGAATTTCAGCTCCCTCGGCAGCGCTTGGGAGCGGAGCGCGCACGGAGTGTAAAGGAGCCCGGCCCACTCTGCTCCACGCCGCCTCGCTACCACCCCACCCGGCGGAGCTGGTTCGTCGGGAGAGAGCCGTGTCGACGAGGGCCGCCCGCCTGAGGGGGCCGCTGTGAGCCGGGCTCGTTCCCTTTTCACCGTTCACTCCCCCCCCCCCCCCCCCGAACAGATGCTCCGTGGTCTCGAGAGAGTGAAGGCAGGGCGGGCGGCCTGCGCTTCGTTCGGGTTCGCCGGCTGCCGCCGCCCCTCTCCGACACTTGACTGACTGACTGACTGACGAGCGGCCTTGGGCCCGCCTCAGGGACCCCGAGTCTCGCCGGAAGCCCCGCGGAGCAGCTTGACTTACAGCGCCACCCCGGCTCAACTCCGAGGAAGGAACCGCAGCTGCGAAGGGGGGAGAGGAGAGCTCCGCTGAGGGGAAAAGAAGAAGAAGAGGCGGCGGCGGCGGCGCCCGCCCAGGGGCCCGTGGCTTTGCTAAGGGGGAGGAAGAGGAGGAGTCCTGCCGCCGCCCCCCCTCCCTTCCCTCCTCTCCTCTCCTCTCTGCCCCTCGCCAACCCCAGGCCTGGTGGCCGCCTGCTGAGCCGGGGCTGCGTCGTCGTGAGGCCGGAGCCGGAGGAATGTGCGATACCGCCGGCGTCTGCGCTCTAGACAGAACTTGATCCTTTCTCGCCCCCCCAGGCCCGGCTCGTGTGACCGGCTGGGACTTTTCCCCCTTCACCCGGCGGCTGCCGCGAGGGCAGGTGGGCGGAACCCCTGACTCTCCTCTCGCTCAGTCTCCTTCCTTCCTTCCCTCCCTCCCTCCCCTCCTCCCTCCTTCGCCGGGGAAGGCACCATGTCCAAGATGCCGGCCAAGAAGAAGAGCTGCTTCCAGATCACCAGCGTGACTACGGCCCAGGTGGCCAGCAGCATCACCGAGGACACCGAAAGCCTGGACGACCCGGATGAATCCCGCACCGAAGACGTTTCCTCCGAGATCTTCGACGTGTCCCGCGCCACGGACTACGGACCCGAAGACGTCTGCGAGCGCAGCTCCTCCGAGGAAACTCTCAACAACGTGGCCGACGCCGAGACTCCTGGGACGGTCTCTCCCAACCTCCTCCTCGACGGGCAAGTAGCTGCAGCCGCGTCGGCGGCCTCTGGGGGTATTCAACAGTCGCTGCCTACTGCTGTTCCAGCAGCCAACGGAGGGGCCGTTCCCAGGAGCACCGCGGTGCCCCCAGCGGCGGCCGCCCAAGCCTCCTCAGTGGCGGCAGGAGGCAGCAGTGCGCAAGCTTTTGCTGGCCCGGGAGCCGTGCCTCTAACGGCTACCGCCGCATGCAGCTCCCGCTTCAGGGTGATCAAGTTGGACCACGGTACTGGAGAGCCCTACCGACGGGGGCGATGGACGTGTATGGAATACTATGATCGGGACTCGGATGGCGGGGCCGTTTTAGCCCGGACTGGGGATTGTATTAGACACAACAGTACGTTTGAACAGGCTGTTCAAGATAGGGACAGTGGCTTAGGTGCAACCGGGGGCTCATTGATAGTCTCCGGAGTGGCAACGTCGGCACATGGCCCCGACTCTGTGGCTGACAGCTCTCTTGCTGCTGTGTCACAACTACTACAGCCAGAGAAAATCGAATCGAAAATCCAGCCCTCTCCGCAGCAACCTAATTTTGTCATTGGGCAGCAGCCCATAGGCGGGGCTGCGCCTCACAGTACTGCTCAGTTGATGTATTCAGGGGCTACAGCGGCAAGCCAGCAAATGATGGGGCCTCCGCTGCAGTCTCAAGTAAATACACAGAGCATGGGACAGGCTGCACCCAATGGGAAAGGCATGTCACCTTCGAATGTAGCAATAGTCCAGACAAATTTGCCCATGCCACAACAGCAGGTACAGCAAGCGAATGTACCAGTGACTCAGACACAACAGTTCGCTTATCCTCAGTCACAGATTCAGCCAGTGCATTTGGTGCCAGCTCAGACGCCTGGCCAACCAGAATACATTCAACATATGACAGTAATTCAGTCTCAAGGAACTACTCAGCAGGCTGCTTCAGGCTCTATTCCAAGCACTGGAGCTTCCAGTCTTCCAGCAGCACAAGTAGCTGGTCAGAATCCCTCACCTCTAGGAGTGCCAGTGATGGGAGTTTCTTCGCAAGCTGGTGAAACAGTAGGACAGGGATCCGGGCTAATGCAGAGCGGCCTGACAACTCCAATTCAGACTGTCATTCCGCAGCAAGGAGGTGTGGTGCAGCCAAGCATTGGACATACAGGAGTTGTGCAACAGAAATCCATGACTCAGCAACAAATGGGTGGAAGCAATCAAGTGTCTGGTGCACCTCACAGCATAGTCTCTGGAGTTCAGAATGTGCCTGTAGCTGTGCCGGGTACTAGTGTGCCTAGTGTGTCTTCAGCTTCTGTTACTATGCCAAATGTCCCTATTACTTTAGTCCAGTCCCAGCTGACTAGCCATACATCTGTCAGTAGAAGTTCCAGTGTTGTCCAGCAGCACATCGGCCTTCCTCTGATCCCAGGCACGACCAATATACCTACAAACCTGCCACAATCAAACATTGGACAATTTCAGACTCAACCTTTAGGCCAGATTGATGATACTAGAAGAAAATCTGAACCCCTACCTCAACCACCACTTTCTCTCATTGCTGAAAACAAACCTCTTGTGAAGCCACCTATTCCGGACACTTTAACAAACCCTCTTAACTTACCTGCAACTACTCCTATGAACAGTCTTGCCAGCTCTGTCTTTGGCATATCTATTCCTGTTGATGGTGATGAAGACAGGTATTTATCTTTTTTAATACAAACATTTGTGCTTAGTTTAAGGTTTGACAACATTCATTTTGTCAAGTTGAAGAATTCCTTAGTAGTCTGCCCCAAATATGTGATAAATGGATAGATCAATCTCTGTTGTGTAGCTAAAATGTGTGTAAAATATATAAGGGAGAACATAGTGAAAAGAGACTATGAAAATTCATCTTGTCCAGAAAAGCACTGTTTTTTTCTGTGTCCTTGGAAAAAGTTACATTGACTGTTAAGCCTATCAGATACACTAGGTAACTTGAAGATAACTAGGATTGCTATTCCATTATTAAAGGAAATGTAAATAATTTAGAGCTCAGGTGGAAGCAATAATTAACAGGCTTCATAAATGTAAAAAACCTCCTTAGAAGACAAACACTCCTTAGAAGAAAAGCACTTGTTTGCTTTTTAATTAAGGTATTATAGGTATAGAAAACTATGATGGAAATGCAAGGTAAAATGCTACTGGAGGAAATGTCTGTAACTCAGAGCAGATCAGTGGCATTTTTTCTCCAATAGTCTTAGGGTAATTACTGCAGAAGCTTGCTAACAAGGATAGTTCATTGAGAAAAACAAGTAGTTTAAATTTTGGCTTCAAGTTGTCTTTTAGATAGAATCATTACTTCACCATGAGTGTGATTACTCTGTAAAGAAGATTAAAGAACTTGGTGGTTAAATGTTCAATTTAAAACTGAGGTTATAAAGACAGCCCAATTCTGTGTATATTTACTTAGAGCCAAGTTCTTAGTAAATGTGCAGCTGCAGAGTTTCAAGAATTTCAAAGCAAGTTGCACTGTTAACGTTTTTGTTAAGACTTTAATGGACAGAAAGGCAAATGTAGGCCTTAACCTCTTTAGAAGAACTCTCATAGATAAAACATCTTTATATGGCTTCTAGCTCATTTAACTGGTGAAAGTACCACATTTGGCAATGTAGTCCACACACTTCTGATGAACAGTTAAAGGCTTTAACAAACAAAATTGGGTAGTTTTTAAAGACCAGATATAAGAATCACGTACTACAAGATTTATTGCTATAAGGAAGGTATGTGTGAAACTAATGAAGAGTAATGAAGAGTGGGATGGGCAGAGAACACTGACCCATCCTTATGCTGAATTTTACTGGCAGGGATGCTCCACAGAAAATCTCTGGCCTACTTCTGCCAGTTTTTCTTACAGTAGAATTGACTGTGAGAAGGAAGTTTTATTCAATGTAACTTTAAAGGTGTGGAATTACTTGCCCTGAAATGTATTCATTTCCTTAAGCATCTTTTAAATACTGTATGAAATTGTGTCTGTGTGAGTCTTCTGCTACATTTGAGTTGTATGAAATATTTCCCACATTCTAATACAGACCAGAGCTGTAGTTGTTGACAACTTTATTTGTGATTTAAATAATAAAAGTAGGCCTTGGTTATGACTTTGCAACAACTGATAGCACAGCAGTAGCAATTGAGTACTCTGTCTGTAAATCAGGAATGTTGCCGTTGGATACTGAAGTTTAAAAATAATAATGTTATGTATCTCATTTTGGGGGTTCTCTGCCTGACTTCTAGGTGAATGGTGTAAAAATAGATTGCAGTAGCAAAAAGTTTGATAGTACTTTTAAAGCAGATGCGTGCAATTTATAGGACCTGCTCTGTCAGCAGAACCTGTTTTAATCAGCTGATACTGCTAAAGATGCACACAGTCTTTATTGCAATCTTCTGGAGTACTTTGCTGCTACATTATTTTGTGATTGATGGGTATCGTAGTATACTACGTTATAGACTAGTACATAAAATTATAGTAGTATACAATTCTTTGCACTGTAAAAAAAGTTAAAGAGCTGTAAACCTGTTTGCATACCCTTGCACACAAGTGGAAACTCTATGGAACACTTTCAGCAATCTTTATGTGAAGAACAGCTGTTTTACTATACCCACTTTCCCAGAGTTCTCATAGGATGCTTGGTGCGTGTTCCCATGTATATACTGTTATAACATTTTTCTCTTCCTTTTCCCTTTATGGTAGAGAGATCTTACTTATCAACAAAAGATTGACTGGTTTTGGCCACTTTGAGCAGCTCTGTGTACTAAGAATTGAATAAATATGTAAAAATAAAAGACATGGGGAAATGGCTATGGGGTAACAGTGGGTAGAATGTAATGGATCAGGTAACTTGTTAATTCAGAACTTGTGCCTTGTACTGTTAGGGTCAGCTTAATGCTGTCTCAAGTCAAACAATTATTAATTAGGCCTCCATGAGGATTGTGCTAGCATGGCATGGGTGGGTAACATCCATAAATTCAATGTAAGAGAGATTTTATTGACCTTGCACTAACATTAACAAGTTTGGTTCACCTCAGTGTGATGTAGTGATTAGAGTGTGGGACTGCAATCTGGGAGGAGAATCCCCATTCCATCATGGAAGCTTGCTGGGTGATCCTGGGCTAGTCGCACACTCTCAGCCTAACCTACCTCACAGGGTTGTTGTGAGGATAAAATGGAGGAGAGGAGAACAGTGTAAGCTACTTTGAATTCCCCCTTAGGGAGGCAGGTGGAGTATAAATTAAGTAAATAAATAAATCTTTGTGATTTTTTTTAAAGGTTGCATTCTATTCCTTGTCATGTCTAGCTTTTGGTGAGAAGGGCAGTTTTCAGCTACTGTTTCTGTCTGATCAGCTCAGTATGGTTTCTTCCCATAGGCCACGTGTATTAGTAAGAGAACTAGAGGAAGATTAAACAAGAGACCAGTGGTACCTTACAGGTTAACAAAATTTATTCCAGTGTGAACCTTTGGGTCAGAGCTCATGTTAAGGGAAAGATGTAGTCTGTGTAATATTGCAGGGCATGTTTTGAAACAATAGTAGGAATTCTTCAGAGAATGCTAAATCAATGCCAGTGGAATAGACTGATCTTTCTAATCAGCATTTCAGTAGCTACAGTTGAGTAAATGAACCACATCCATTTAATGCATTTCTTGTTTAAGCAAGATCAAATGTAAGTTTAAAATATGCTTAAACATTCATCTTTTTACATGGAGATATTATTATGAGATATATATAGATCCCTGTGAACTGAACATGCATGAACATTTGATGCATGAAATGAGTACTGAAGTACTTGATAGAGTTAAACATATTTAAGTATTTGTGACAAGATTTAAAAGGGAACATTAGTGAAGTCTTAGTTTTTGAATCTCTTTCCAGTGGTGCTTATGGTTAGAAGCTTGCTTGTGTGGAGTAGCTTGTTTAATCATGTTAACTCAATGAAGGAATTGTATTAAAAGAGGGAGGAGATCGGTTCCTTCTCCCAGCACAGGTCCAGAAGCAGCTTCCAAGTTTTGTCTGTTTTTATGTTTTAAAAAGCTCACATTAGGAATATGGAATGTGATGCAGCTGTGGTTGCCAGGTCAGAACTTCAGCATTAGGTTTCTTCTCTGTCTTTGAGGTTGGTATGTAGTCCAAGGCTCAGCCCCGTTGAGAACATTACCTACAGTATATGATTTGGTAAGTTCTCTGTCTCATGGGTAGAAAGCAATCACCACCCAGAATTCTTAACTGGGAGGTGCTATAAATGGTATTTGCTTTTTTACCATCATTCTTCATCTCTTTCCTGTTGATCTAGTTAAAGGCTGGCTAGGTCTCTTCATTTAAGTGTTAATTAGGTCACAATTGGTGCCTGTGCAGTATAGAAAGAAAGTGCTGGGAATTAATATGTAAATGAATTCTAAATTCAGGTAGCCTAACTAGTATTCAAGACACAGCTCTAAAGTATATCCGTCTGTAGTGTCATTATGGAAGTTCTGTAGTCAGTTCTCATTGCATTTAGAAGCTAAGTAATATGTAACAAATGACTCACTGAATGATGTGTCATATTAGTATAAATTGTAATTGAAATGTCTCCCTTTAATGCTTGATGAAAGGTCTTTCATTGAGATGATGAGGTAGTCCTAATCATTTTTTGAAAACTTATTGGCAGTAGTTATACTACATTGGTAATCAGAACAGATCTCTCTTAATCCAGTTGAATCTAAACAGCTGCTTAGTTTCTAAAACCATGACTAGCTGCTTACTATCTTTTGGGCTCTTGAGAAATATGTTGTCACTCTTGAAATAATGCATAATTGGGAAAGCTACTTTGGGGTACATACTACAAGGCTGGCTAGAAAGGGCAGAGAACAGAGAAAGCTGACCAGTGTGAACCATGCAGGCTGTAGTCCAGGAACTAATGAATGGTCACAATTGTGAGTGGTCAACAGCAGCCACTTGATTGCTGAAAACCTGATTGTAAGGCCCCCTTCATAGAGTATCTCCTTCTCCACTTAAAAAAGCCAGTTTGTATAGTGTACTGATAGTAGCTGATAAAGTACTACAAATGCTAAAAACAGAGCTGTGGAGGCTTTTAAATAATGGAGTAGACCTTGCATGAGCATTAAAATTGATAAAGTTTTCCTTATGCTTTATGCAGAGTGTTCTCTATATGCTCTGAGAATAAAAATAAAGGATTATGCAAATTGAAAACAGTAGGTACTGCTGACATGCTGCTGTTGGTGAATTTCATATCTGTTTTCAAATTGTGTTCAGAACAGCTTCAGTTAAGCAGCATTCTGCCATGCTGAAATGAGTAGTGGATGTAGACCAGAAACAAATCAAAGTTAGAATCCGGTCGGGGCCTTAAGCATCCCCATGATAATAGCAGTGAGCTGCTTCCTACAGTTAAGAATGTTTGTTATGAAAGAGAAGTAAATTGTAATTGTAAACAGAATAATAAAGCTTGCAGTGAACATTCTAATTCCTAAGAATTTAGTGCATGAAATCATTACTCACTGTTGCTGTGTTAATTTAAAAATAGCCATGTAGGATCTGCTCAGAACTGCTTTCATGTCTAACATTTCTTTCTGAGACATGAAAAATATTGCTGGCAAAGGAATGTACAAAGGAACATCATAGTAACTGCAGTCTTTGACAAATTTATGTACTAAACTGGTAAACTGGATGA